GTCGTTCTTCCCCATCGGGTCTTGGAGAGGAGCTTGTCCAGAAACACATGTCAGGATATTCAGTGCTTTGCAGAGTACACACACTGCTAATTGGCTCTCCTGTAATGAATGCTTAATGAAGGTTAAATATCCAGAAACTGTAATACAAGTATCCATATTTTTTTTTTCCTAGCCATCCTGCAAAAGAAATGGTTATCGATGACTCAGTAAAGTTGGGTGTTAACGAAGCTGATCATACAATTGGACTTACTCAGAATCTTAACGGCAAATCTGGTTCGTGGACTTTTGAGGAGTTTATTGACATTGGAGTACATTCCAAGTCAACCAAACTGAGCTCGGACAGCATCTCTGCTGGTAACTGTAATCAAAACTTGAATGCTGCTGCTACAATACCTTCTAGTCCCAAATTGGCTTTTGAGGAAGATGGTGCAGTGAATTCATTGACCAAACCTATAGATGCTTCATCAGGTAATCCAAGCTGATTTCCCTCTCTCTCTCTCTTCCTCTGGCTAGATAATTACCTTCCTTGCATTTTACTCTCCTTGCCTTAATTCAGCTTCTTATTTTCAAGGCACTTTTTCCCATGTGTAGACTGGAGGGAAAGCTCTTTCTTTAGTGCTTGTAACTTGTGTTCAGTCAAAAGGAGTCACCAACTGATGCCTTTCTAGGGACTTGCTCTAGACAGCAGCTAAGGCCCGACATTAAGGCTCTTCCAAAGACACAGCTGAAGCCCTTTGAAGCTCCTGTATCTCCTACCAACTCTCAAGCCCATCTGTTGTATTTTTAGGCTGCTTCTATGATGTCTTACATGACACGTTATTTTTGAAGATACTAACAGTTTAAAAGGTGTCTGATGTAACTCTACAGACAAGACCTTTCCACTCCTAGGCATGTTCTGTAACTTTCTGATGCTGACCTGCATGGTCTTACAAGGTCTCTTCAGGCTCTGCTAAGGCATTAGCTGTTCTCTGTACTTACTGTAGAATAGTCTTTCACTTCCCTGAGGATGGTAACACCACCCTTAAACTCCACAGATGGTTGTGTTACATTTTGAGAGGAGCAATAAAGCTGCACACACAATAATCTGAATTTTCTGAAAGAAGCAGGGCTGCATCTGAAGCCACATGTACTTGAGAAGCCAGACCCTGATGCTGTACAGCATAATGTGTCAGAGAGGCTTCAGTAAGCCAGTGTACGTGAGACTAAACTACTCTGGTGTTGGAGCTAAGCCCCAAATGGATGTATTCATAGCAGGAGATCTCTTCCCGTGAGATAAATGACTGCGTGAACAGTTGAAATGAATGGTAGTGGAAAAAACAAGACTTGCTATCCACATTTTCTTAAAGTGATGTGTAGCACTTTTTTTTTTTAATTAAAATGTAGCACTTTTCTAGACTGAACTGTTTCCTGAGTCTCCTCTGTCACTCTGCGTCTTGTGAATTTTAGTCCCACAGACATAGCCTTATTGAGACTCCCTTGAGGCCATGACTAAGTGGGCCATGGGAACAGAAGGATTTGATGTGATACTGCTGATCACGTTTTGTTCTGATCAAAATCATTAACATGTTAGTGAAGGAAGTGTTGCCTTTCAATTTTGAACTTGAAAATGTTTAGACATAATACGGTTTAAGAATTACTGCACATAAATTTGAAAACTAATATTCGTATATTAAAAAATAAAAGCTACTGCGCTGATTTTGGACAGTAAGTAACCAAGTGGTTCTGTGCTTACTCCCTGCATGGAGACTCTGCCAGTGATGATAGATGTATGTGGCATACACCCAGTTATGATGGTTAAATGTTTTCTTCTCTTTGCTCTTTGGACAGAACTGTGAACACTAGAGACCTGGAAATAATCTGATTGCACTTCAGTAATCCAGTGTTTTATCAAGTACCGAAGGCCTTGTTTTGAAAAGCTGCTTGTTTACCTTTATCCATCTTCAAGTTTGCAAAAAACAAAACCCAGGGGAGGGATGACAGACTTCTAGATTTGCACCTTGAAACATTTCAGGGAAACTCTTGTTTTGATGTTCTTTTTCCATTCATTTAGATAATTGTTACTAAGATTTCCTTGTTCAAATATCATTTGTTTCCCTTTTATAGACTTTACAGTAACTTGTTTGAGTCTTTTTTTTAAATTATTATTTTCATATCAGTATCATATACCACTGGAGGCTCCCAGTTAACTACTGGACAGCTTTTTGCATATTTCTAAAATGGCACATGATGAAATAAAAGACTCATTCAGTGTGTGTTAAAGCTGAACTCCCTTTGTAATGTTCTAGAAAAACACTGTTACTTGTTGGTTCATGTGCTATTTAAAAAAAATGCAAATTGAGTATCTTCAGTTTTGAATGAAGAAAAATTCCTTCTTTTCTGATGTGAAAATATTGGCAGTTTCAAAATGCAATATTGTACCGTCACTAATATGTTTTAAGTTATTGGCAAACATCAAAACATTTTACAATATATGCACTAATATTACAGAACTGTTGAGTACCTAGATATGTCTGTCATAATGCAGTTTAATGTGTCATGCTTTTAAATATGTTTTCCCTTTGAATTACTTATTTAAATTTAGCTACACTCATGGAAGTATTATTTTATTGTGTACATAACAGTATTAGACCACTGAAGTCATGTTTTGTTCATGTTAATTATTCTAAGTGTTCCTGTTCCGGCTGTATAACAGTGGCTGGAAGCTGCATATATATTTTTCCCTTCCCCTAAAGCCTGCATTAAGTAATCTATTTAACCTAAACTTGCCTGCATTTTACAGCATGAAGAGATTAACTAAACATATTCTGAAAATTGCTACTAAAAGTAATAATGCAAGTCTTGTTCTTACGCCTCCTGTAACACAGATATACTGGATAAGTGATTCCTGTAAAGAATAGCTGTCTCAAATCCTGCTAGAAACCATTGGCTGATACTTCAATTCCAATGAATCATCCAAACGGCAGCTGTGTGTTCAGTGGTTAAATGCAAATGGTTTTGCTGGAACTAAACATGTTCTTTCCTCGACGTCGCAGTGACGATAGGAAACCCTCAGCCTTCTTACTCTCGCTGTTGGCTACTCAGAATACGGTAGAACTGTTTTAGACTTTAGAGCAGTGCCTTAGGTAAAAAGAAAAATGTATTTTTGTACGATAGTTGTTTCATTCTGGCAGAGACAATCATTCTAACAAGCAAAGATGCCGATATTTTTTCTGTTCTGATCATATTTGTAGAATGGTCTGTTACAGCTCTGTGTAAATACGCGTGCACTGTTAAATAAACTTTGCAGTTGAACAATGCTTTATTTCTGTAATGCTAAACATTACCTTACTAGGAGTCTCCAACCCCCTTGCCATGCTGACCTGCCTTGAGATGCACTCTGGTACTGCTCTAACTACTCCACACTGCACATTCCCAAAGCTAGCAGCCTCTTTGGCAGTAGCACTTGTGTGGTTGGGAGGGTATGTGTACTAACACCTTCACACCTTGCTGTGTTTGTACATGCCAGTGATGTGTTCATAACTGTTGAATTCTTTAATTTGCTTTTTTTACTGTAAGCCTTTGCTTTTAACTTGTAGCACCAGCATCTTCATGTTCTAACAGTGAGTTTAACAGTGTTCTGTGGACACAGTGGAGCAGTGACCATCAAGAATACAGCAAAATGGTGCCTTTTGGGGGGGTTTTTTTGTTGTTTTTTTTTTTTTTTTGTTTTTTTGGGGTTTCCAAGGGTTCTGTGTTTCTAGTAGGTGTCTGTGAATGAAAGGGAATGACTAGAGCAGCATCCAGTTGATAAATAGTTCTGTACAGTCTCAACCATTGCTATGAAAAAATCCTTAAACAATTGTTAAGGTTGCTGAAGGGCAGGAGATGTGTGTAGGGACAGTGGTTGTACATGTGTTCTCCAAAGGGCTTTTTCACACAGGCTGTTCTTGGCAGATGGTCCAGTGTCAATTATACATTAAAAAACTTAATTAGTTTATGGAAATTGTTGCTTTGGTCCTCAGATATTTAAGGACACTGTGACAGAGCAGCTGACTCTTGACTTTGCCAGTATTTGTATCAGACTTGATTTCAGTAGTTCAGTTATAAGTGGTGATAATCATGTAAGATGGGAAAATGAAAAAAAGTTTTCCAGACTGTAGGACTCCAAGCAGGCACTAGTCTCATTTTTATTAAATCATAAAACATATACTGACATGATAGGAGAGCTATCATTGTCTGAGCTAGTTTTAAGGCACTTCTAAATGCATATGCATTTTGTTGTAGTTGAAAGGTTTCCTTCTTGTTAATGGATTAATAATTGTATATAGACAGCCTCGTTTAAACAATGATGTAAAAAAAGCTGATGAGCAAAACTTTTGGGCAAACCATGCAGAAATCAAGACTAAAAACAAGTTTATGGAAACTTAACTAAAGCTAAATTGTACTGCTAAAATCTTGTTATATGCAAGATGAAGCCATTCCATACACGTGCTGCAATTTGGTGTGGTAGGGTAAACTAAGGTATTTATTACTGAGCTGCTGTTAATGGTGTGATGTATGTAATGTACCTGTACTTGTAAAAGCATAACAACGGATCTCTCTGATCCTGGGTGCAACCTGCATCTCTGTTTCAGAGGTGCATGCCTTGTCAAACTCACTTCATTAAATGTTAAGCTTAAACGTATACCAGACAAGTTTAAAACTAGTTTCGTTTTAGTTTAAGCTACACACAGATTATGTAATAAGTGGATCTCAAATGTTAAATCTAACGGCATTTCAGGTCTTTACACTAAGAGTTACTTGGAAGCAAAGTTAGATTTTTTTTTTTTTTTTGCAATGCTACATGCTTTTGTACTGCAGGAGCTTTAAAAGTCCAACCCAGTACATTGAGACTACTTTAGTTTTTATACTAAAATGGAAAATGTTAAAATTCTTAACATGCAAAAAACCTGCTCCTTTACCAGGACTGTTTTGGAAAGCAGGGCTCTAACATCCATTTTACAGCAGTTGCTGTCTGCTCCTTACAGTCGTTTGGGACAGTCAGCACAGTAAATTTTTCCATTATGGCAAACAAAGCGCTTGTTGGCCAGACCACGGGCACACTTTGTGCATTTGAAACAATAATCGTGCCAGGATTCATCTTCGTAGTTAACCACACTGGTTCCTCTTCCAAATCCTGCTAGGAGAGAAAACAATTATAGGACGGCGATAGTAGCTTTTCCCTTGGCTGGGGTTAGTCCATCAAACAGCACATCCCATTCTTTCTGCCTCCTGTGCTTCTGTAGTCTTGCAGACCAGATTTTTATGCCTAAAATACTAGCCAAAATTGCAACTGAACCACAGTGTTTGCTGCAAATAACTATTGCTCTTAAGAGAAACAGGCAGCGTAGCATAAGGCTTGTGTGGCTTGTCTCTGCAATAAGCTTTTTCCCTTGGATCCTTTCTCCAGGAAACAGTCAAGCCAAAGGAAATATCAAGATGTAGAGCAAGGACAGGTTCGGCTCACCACCCTGCCTCGTTGTTACCGGCTCGAAACCATGCTCTAAAAATGCAGCAAAGAATGCAAGTCTCATGGGACTGGCAGGATAGTGGCCACAGTTTAGGGCTGAGCTTCATGATCCAGTAACTGTGACATGTAAAATACAGCAGAAGTAAAGGAAATGTCACTTTGGGGCAATAAAACATTGCTCTTTTTAGACCTAAGGTTCCTTAACTAAGATAGAGATGGGAACAGTTCTAGATGGGGAAGTTTTGAAGAAGGTAAATTAGAGGTCTGCAAAGGGTAAAGAGCTGTTACTAAGTCAGCCTCTATCCAGCAGGAGCACGGGGCTTATACTTAGATCACATGTAAATTGCTGGGATTGGGCTTGGGATACTAGACCTGGTGTTAGCATGTCTTTGGGGATCGCTGTTCTGACCTTAAGCACCCACTGCCCTCAAGCTGCATTTAGTCCAACATACCTGTAATAGGATTCTTGCAGCCAGCACACTTCTTGGCAACACACTCCTTGTAGCATTCAACACAGTAAAATTCATCCTCTACAGCCGTGAAGCGCTTCCCACCCAGTGGCTTCTTGCAGTTGGAGCAGATGAAACACTCTGAATGCCAAGGCTGTTCCTGATAAGTGAGGCCTCCAGAAGTGATGGGCTAGGAGGCAAAGAGCAGAGATGTGTTTCAGAACCAACAAGGAGGAAAGAGAGGTGATGCAGGCATGGGGTGTAGGGTAGAAGGGCTTTGTCAGGGAGGAGATCTCTTGAAAGTTTTCATTAAAATTAAATAGGGCAGCATACTTGAGTTCCTCTAGCCTGAAACCCTGCGTGCCTGGAGCTTTCATAATAGTTTATTTTACCTGCAGTGACTCTGCAAGTCTACACTAATCAGTTGCTAAAGTTGTAAAACAGCTATTTTATAAAATACTGTTTTACTGCTTGAATACACAATACCTACTGGAGAGCTTAAAACATCCCCAAAGCAAGTGCAGGCTGGTGGACACTTGCTTTCAGCAGAGTTGCCATCGCTCAGATACTGTAATGTGCAAGAACCATTAGCTCATATAACGTTATTATACCACAAGCTCATTCCACCAGCATCTCAGGGAAAGAACATAAGCATGGGTACAGCTTCAGCATGATCTGTCTACTGGCTTACTCTCCTAGCTTCCAAAAGACATGTGAGGGCTAGTTCTGGCAGCTGCCTTTGCAAAGTGGAAGGACTTACATTCTTGCATTTAGCACAGGTCTTGGCAAACTTATGCTCATGGCAAGAGACACAGTAGAAGTCATCACCCTTGGGGAAGAAGCTCCCAGATCCAATCACTTGCTTGCACTGGCTGCAAGTAAAACAGTCCTTATGCCAGACCATCTTCTTGTACTCAACATTTTGGTCTCCTACAACAGACAGAAATAAGTTGTTACATGGGATTTCAGGATTGTGATAAACTCCCCACCCTGTGCAATGTGGCACAACTGTAGGCAAGACCTGGCCATACGTATGCCTGGGGTTCAGATATAACATGGACAAAGGATGAGCTGTTTAATTTCTGTATCTGGTTTTAGCCAGGGCCTTCTAGATGTTCTTAAAATATTTGTCAGGCAGGTGCCTGAGCCTTTCTGAGAAGACCCTGATTTACAGGGCAAAGCTTTTGGTAGAAATGGTTTAAGACAAACTGTCCACATGAGGGTTAACTTCAGAGCAGCCTTTCAACACTTAAATAAAATAGATGGGTGAGAGCAACAGTCAAAACTTGCACCATTTTGTGGTGTTCCAGCCTTCCACTATGATGCCCATACCCCTAACTGCAGCCTCCACAGCTTGATAAACCTCTATGGTTTCACCCAAGAGCAGAACTTGGCAGTTGTGCCCTTATCAGTGGCATCAGTACCTGCAATAATAGGCTTGAAGCAGCCCTTACACCTGGGCGCATCCGCAGTGGCAGTGCAGTTGCTACACCAAACCTTGTTGTTCTCCCTTAGCATGAAGGGCTCGTTGACCAAGGACGTGTAGCACTTGAAGCAGCGGAAACAGTTGTCGTGCCAGTAACGGTTCTTGAAATGCAGCTCCTGTAAGGAACAGAAATGGAGTGAGCAATAAGCCCTTCTATTGCCGAGCAGCCCTAAAACCAAGCGAGTGTCTCCTCAGCCTGGGCAGTAAAGGACAGATGCGTTAGTTCCTAAGCATGTCTGCATTCAGTGGTTGGAGGTGCAGTTCATTTGCAAGCGGTTAAGGGAAGGACATTTAACCAACTCGCTGACACAATTACATTCACTTTGGACTTTCAGGGTAGCAGAAGATGCTTCAAACCAACAGCTTTGAGATTTGAAGTTCTGTAAGTGTGGGCTCCTCTGGTTGTCAGGTTTCCTCTAGTTCAGGTGTACGTTGTTATTGCCATAAACATGAAGCAATAAACAAATGACAAACTGACAAAAATCAGACCTCGGGTTCCCAAGCGCTCTGCCCAGAAGATGAGTTTTTTGCAAGTCCTGTGCAGGCTGGATTGCCCACAGTACTCTTGAGGACAATTCAGCATTTGCAACAGTTCATGGAGCTGAATCTAGATCCTGAAATTAGTTCCTGTGCAGGAGCAGCCCATGGTGAACATCCCTACTGCAGTGCCCCAGAGCCTCTGGCTCTTTGCCCAAGGAGCACATGGCCCATCAGCCAGAGAACTCACAAGAGAACTTGTTTTGACACAGAGGAGAACAAATGGGAGGGTTATCAGCATCTGCCTGTCTTCCCCTCATCCATTTATCTGCTCGGCACTCACCTTGGAGTCAGCTCCAATGGGTTTCTTGCACTCAGTGCAGGTGTTGGCACAGAACTTCTCGAAACACTTGACGCAGCAGTGGCGGCCCTCTTTCTGCACGTACTTCTTCCCCTGCAGAGGGTCACGGCAGTAGTGGCAGTCAAAGCGCTCCGACATGGTGCCCACGGTGTAACTGCCAGGCCCTGCAAGAGGAAAGAGGGTGAAGTTACAGCACTGAAGCTCTGATAACTGGTCTACCTTCTTGGGTCTATGCAAGTAAGTATCAGGAAGATGGTTCAGCA